ATGGGGTGGTGCTGTTATTATGCCCATTTTACAGATGAGGTGATTGAGGCACAGAGACATTAAGTGATTTTCTCAAGTCCAAATTCATACAGCTAGTAAACAGAAGAGCTGGGATTTGAGCCCAGGTGGTCTAGCTCGAGTCTGCGCCCTTGACCACTCTGATGAGGGCAGGATCTACTTATGCTTCTCCTGCTGCCTAGCACAGTGTCTGGGGCATGGTAGGTGCTCAATACATATTCGTTGAGGCACTGATGAAGATCCCAGATTTAGCTGGAAAAACGCTTCCCCTGCTACGCACACGCATACGAACCTGCACACCAGACAGGATGTGAGCCCCGAGGGGCCGGGGATATGCTCAGCTCTCCTTCCGTGTGCATCTGACTTGACCCAGGACACCTGGCCTAGTGAAGGATGGCCAGTGAGGGGCCTGTTACTATGAGCTCAAACCAAGCAGTATGTGAAATGCTTTGGTTTGTTCACTTCTTGCGTCCCATCTAAGTAAAGTCGGCTAGCGAGCTTCCTGACTTAGTAAGTAGAATACACTCAACAGAACCATCATGTCCTTTGATGAGTCAAGACCGAGCAGGGTCTCAGTGTTTGAAAACATCTATTTTCATCCAGCCGGAGCCTACATGGGCCAGCGTGTCATGTCACAGCAGAGAAGGAAGGATTCTTTAAACACAGAGCTTGTATATTCCAAATACAGGACCATGCTTCTCGTTCACAAACAAGTTGGTTCTATCCTGTTTTTCTTGAGACATTCGGTCTTCATTGTCTCACTTTGTTTTTCCCACTTTTAAGAGAGATGTGAGTTCAGGTAATATTTTGCTAGTCTTTTCATGAGTAAAGGGAGAAAAGAAAGCAACTCGATTGAAGCCCACATGATTCCACCAATAGAATAACAACAGCCTGTATTTACCCAGCACTTTCTATGTGTCAGGCATTATGTTAAAGCCCTTGATATACAATATCTCATTGACGCTTCCTAGTAAATAGGTACTAAACATTGTGTCGCTTTCTCAGGTGGACAAACTGAGATGCAGAAAGCCGTGTACCTGTTCTCACGGCCAGGGTGATGGCTCAGAATCTGCAACCAAGCTCTCTGCGTCCAGAGCCTACACAAGGCTGGGGGCCAATAAAGATCAGTGAGTCCTGAAGAGTCTCCCCCCAGTTAGAGTTGGGCAGGGAGGCACAGAGAGGTGGTTTCAAATCATACAACAGCTCAGAGCAGCCATGTTGGGTGGGCTCTGCCCTTGGAAATCCCCTCCATTTTCAGAGCCTCTTAGAAACTTCTGACTTGGGCACTCCTGCCCCTTTGGGGAGGCTCCTAAGTTTGCTCATCCTTCCTGGAATGGAAGAAGTAGTGGTTTTGGAGCTCCAGATGGAGTGGCAGATGGGAAGTGAAAGCCTATCAGAGTTGCCCAGGATAAAACCATTCATCTGCAAAATTCATATGTTTTTGCGTGGGGCAACTTCCCAGAAACAAAAGCAAGAGGAACCAGCAGTGCTTGATGCATAAAGTGCCTCTGGCCACGAGGCTGGCAAAGTGAAATGGGCAGAAGAACCGGGAGGGCCATGGAAATGACAGCAGTGGGGGCAGAGGGAGGGCAAGACAGAATGAGGCACACAGAGACCTGGAGCATTAAAGCTAAAAAAGCTAAAAATTCCAGGACTCTCTTCTCTGAAACCCAAAATAGGTTTGGCACGTGGTCCAGGAAAGGGTTCCTGGGCCCCTCGGACAGAGAGGAGCTTCAGCCTTGGATGCAGCTCAGGAACGAACAGTTGACATTTATTTGGGTAAGCACTTCGTAGGTGCCCAACGCTCTGCTAGGTTCTATGATCATAGCCCAGTTTCACAAAGACTGAATTTCCTTGCAGATGGCCATATGGCTAGTGAAGTGGCAGAACTCAGACTCGAACCCTAAGCCATCTGCTGGGCCTCTCATCACCCACCCTTCCTGGATGCCGAAGTGCTAAAGATCCCCATATCCTGGCCCAGCTGAGCTGGTTGAGTCCATGGTCGTGGCAAATCAACACAGGGCCCCTAGGGGGCAGCCTTGAGGCCTGGTGGGGGTCTCCTGGGGAGGGCCATGGGCACAGGAATGCCCACCTGACCTCAAGAGGTCTCTGGCCAAGTGCCACCCTTTGATCTGGGCTGAGGTGATCTCTGGGGTCTCCACTGGAGGTCTAGAGGAGGAATGAGCAGACTCGGGGCCACAGATGACCTTCCTACCTCCAAGGACCTTCCCTCATGACATTCCCTATTGCCAAGTGGTCCCACTTGTAGCCGTCTTGCCACTCTAGGCCTGGCTGACTTCCCCAAGGAAGGAACGAGCAGAAAGCAGAACACCAGCCTCGGAACAGCACAGAACTGATTCTCATGTTCACTCTGCCATGTATTTCTTACATGACCTTGGGTCCCCGGTTGCCCTTCTGGAGAACAGGTTTGCTTTGAGGGTTGAAGGAAGCGTCTACCTCATTAGCTGTTATGCTCAGCATCTGGGGATGTTTTTGAACTCAGTCAAGAAAGAGGGAGAACGTCTTAACTCATCCCTGCCTGTGCTTCTCTCTACCCGCCTCTCCTCCTTGCCTCCCTCCATTTTTAAAATTTCTCAAATGCAGCAAGGTCATCTCTGACCCATGTCTTGTCCTGACTGTTCTCTCTCTCTCTCAGGAAGTGTTCTCAACTGGGAGCGATTTTGCCCCTTGGGGACACTGCGCAACGTCTGGGGATACCTGTGGTTGTCCCAAGTGGGGGGCCAGCATGACCAAATCTAGTGGACTGAGGCCAGGGGCTACAGCTAAATGTCCTGCGATGCACAGGACGGTCCCCACAGCAAAGACTCATCCAGCACAGTATGTCCAGAATGTCCAGGTGGGGAAATCCTAGTCGCAAACGAGCGCTTTCTCATTTGCCCAACAATCTGTTCCTAGCCTTCAGTTCTCAGGTCCAAACTTGGCACATTCGGAGGCCTTTCTGACCGCCTGACCCTGTCCCCCGGCCCCCCCATCCCCTCACTTTCTAGTTCTTTCATGCCTTGCATGGCGCCTTTAAATCCATTTTCCCAACTAGGGGACATGCTCCATCAGGTAAGGCTTAGGGCACATTTGCTCACTAAATGCCCAGATAGGGCCTAGCATAAGAGTTGCTTGCCACATGTTTGTGGAATGGGTACCTGAACAAGTGAATAAATAAGTAAAAATACGCCAGCCATGTCATAATCTGCTTACCCTTGCTCTCGTATGAACAAAAGAAAAACAGGCATCTTTCTAACCACCATCATCTTTCTCAGGTTCAAGGGTGCCAGGTGGACCCTGCCTAAGCTGACCAAAGACTGTGCCTTCCCCAGGTCCCCTCCAGGGCCCAGGGGCTTCCCAGCAGACAATGTGATGCCACCAAGCCAAGGACGGAAGGAGAGCACCAGGAATCGCACTGTGAAGGAGACAGAGCATTTCTAGCTTTAAACAGAGAACGTCTCTCTCTACCTGGATCTTATTTGGTTCCTGATTCAACACCCAAACTCCTGGGGACGTGTGGCCTCAATATTTGAGGACATGAAGAATGACAGTATTTTAGATGTGACAGTCATGCAGATGTTAGCTTACAAGGGATGCATACTGCAATTCTTACAGACACAACGACATGATGTCTGGGAAGCGCTTCAGTAGGGAAGAAGGGGAGAGTGTAGATACATCAGCACTAGCCACGACCTGATTCGAGCTGAAACTAGGTGATGTGCACGTGGGGCTTCACTATATTGTGGTCAGCACCCAGGTGCCTGCTTGAAGACCGCCGTGATTGAAAAACACACATATATTTTTAAAGACACCTTCATCTGGCTCCTGTGGGAGTGCTGTCCCCACCCCATGCCCCCGGGGCCATCAGAGGAAGGAAGGCCCCGCCCTTCGCTCCCCATCCTCTTCTCTTTTTTAGCCCCACCAATAAATCAGGATGGAAGACACAGTCAAGCAAAGAACGGCCTTCTGGCAGCAAATAAAGTTCATTTTCTTGCTTTTTTTTTTTAACCTTACAAGATCTTTAGAGGGGTTTCCCTTGCTTATGGCCTATTTTTAAGGCCATAAGCATTAGCGAGCACAAGCTCGCTGGATCAGTGTTTGTGCAAAGGGATGGACCTTCCTGGTGGCATCTGAGTTTCTCGGTGTCTCGGGGCTGATGACCACTGGACCAGCTCCACACAGCTGTAGCCGAGGGCCCGCAGGTGCGCCCTGCCCTGGGCAGGGGTTGGAGAGTAGCTCCCAACATTATAGTTTCACGTGAAACCTCCCAATTTAAAAATGTGTGCAAGCCGTTCATTTGTGACAAGTTGATAGCCACCACCACCACACACACACACACACACACACACACACACACACAGGGCCTCAAACAGCCCAAACATGCGTGTCCGTGACTCTGCCGTGGCCATCATAACGGCCCTCCCTGCCTCCCCTCTGCTCCCCTTTCTGACACCAGAGTCAGACCTAGTCCTGCCTCGAATCAAACATGCCAGGGGCTCCCACATTCTAGAAGCAATATGATCTCACCCCAGGGTTCTCTCTGACCTCCTACTACTCTACCCCTCACCTCCTCTGTTCTAGCCACCCTGAGCCCCCTTGTCCCCCCAGCACAGCAGGTACATGCCCACCTCAGGACCCCGCAGGGGCTGTTCCCTCGGCCTAGACCACTTTCCCGGTCCCAGGGACTCACTCCTCCTCCTGTTCTTCTTGGGAAGGACTTCCCCAGCCGTTCTTGCTAAAATTACGATTCTCCCTGCTGCTTCGTTCTGCTTTATTTTTGTCCCCCCACACCCCACTTGAACGGAAGCTCCAGGTGGGTAGTGGTCTTGCCGGTTCTTCGGGTACCCATGGATGCAGCTGGGAAAACCGTGTGCTCGGGTCCCATGTGGATCCCAGGCTCCGTGGCACCTCACTGAGGCACAGTGCCTTTTCAGACCACTTCACAGAGAGGACTAAGGAAAGCAGGAGGAAGGCTGCCTTACCTGATGGGGTAGTCAGCGGCGCTGAGGTTGATGAAGAAGTCCCAGGGCCAGTCAGTCATCTCCAGGAGGTCCCGCATGCTCTGCAGGTACGTGGACAGGAGGCTGGCTCCCCCCCAGATGGTGGCCATCCTCCAGGGGGTGACGCGAACGTTGCCATACTGTCTGGCGAACTGTAGCACTTGCCGATGCAGGTAATTAGAGCGCTTACCCCCGGGGAGAGAAGGAGTGACACTCAGCAGCAGAACACAGGCGGACGTGCCCCTCACCCCCTATCCCTTCCCGTCTAGGTGACACGGCTTCTGAACAGAGCGGACTTCGCCAAGCAACTGGCTCAGGCCTGGGGTGTCCTTCTACATCGTTCTCCGAAACCTTACTATTTTTGAAAATTTACTTTAGCTATTTGAAATGCAGACTCCCAGGCCCCACCTCTGAGCTCACGGCTCACTAGGCATGGGCCGGTGCCCAGGACTCTGCATTTTTATACAAGACTGAGGCATGTGGTCTGAGGATGACAAGCTAGGACGTATGACTGGGTCTAAACCTGGTGAGCATTTTGAGAGGCGGCATTTCTCCACTGCCCTCTCCCTCACAGGCCTGCTGTGAACAGGCATCCCCTTTTGACTTCTTGACGAATGCCATCATCATGTCAGGTCAGCAGACCAACAGAAACCTCTGGGCCAAGACAGCTCAGGGGTCAGGAAGCCTGCTGCAGGGTTTTGTAAATAAAGTTTTATTGGTACACAGCCACGCAGACTCATTTCTGTATTTCTCAGGGCTCCTTCCACCCTCCAGTGGCAGAGCGGAGTCGCTGTGGCAGGAGCATATACCTGCAAGAGCCTAAAGTATTTGCCATTTGGCCCTTTACGAGAAACGTGTGCTCCAAGGAGAGGCCGCTGATCAGCCTACAAGCCCTGCCTGAAAGGGAGGCCAGCTTGGGGAAGAGCAGACAGACCGGCGGAGAAAGCCAGCAAGGGGCGACCAGGGCGGGAGGGGTCCTCACCTTGTCCACGTGGATGTAGTAGAAGTGGTCTTTGTGGTAAATGGCCTTGAACATGCGCTGCAGCTGCCGAGAGGCACGGCCGTGGACCACCAGGACGAAGGCGATTCGGACTGGGTTGGCCAGCATGTATTCCACCGAGTCCTCATCCCACTGCACGTTCTTGTTGGATTTGCCTGGGGGAAAACCCAAGAGACCACAGGGGTGGGGTGAGGATCCCAGGTTCTTTGTAGGGGGAGGACGGGGAGTTTCTCTGATGCTTCATCTTGGGGACTCTCTGAAGGGCATAGTTGTCCTATGGGGCCCTGAAACCTAATCCAGCTTAAGCAAGCTTGTCCTGGACCCTTATGCTGTCCTGGTACATGTGTGGGGGACTCTGTGGTGCTTAAAGGCAGGGGTTCCCACCCCCGAGGAGCTTTAAAAAGCTGACGGAGACCTAAGTACACGTATTAAGCCACTGAACAAGGCAGGAGGAAATGCGAGGTATCTCTGAACTGTAGGGGAAGGAGCAGTTAATTCTCAGCCGGGAAACAGAAGATATATACGAGCTGGTTTTGCCTGCCCTCTCCCTTCTCCTCCGAATAGCATCCTTTTTTGTAAACATTGGGGAAAGAACAGATGACACCTACCCTCTTAAATTTTTAAGTTCACGGTACAGTACTGTTGATTAGAAGCATGATGTTGTACAGAAGATCTCTAGAGCTTACTCCTCCAGCATAATGAAAACGTTATCATCCAGTATTTTGGGGGGCATCACCCCCTCCTCCATTCTCAGTCTCTATGGATGGGGAGGGTCTCCCTCCATCATCAGTGACAGGGAAGGTCACAGAGCTCAAGGCCTGGCCACTCAGAATGTTTCATCTCCCTGGCAACAGTCTGTATGGTTCAGAGGCGGACGTGTGACCCAACCAAACTAATTAGCCCAGAAGACAGAATTCTAGACTTTTGTTGGAATAACTCAATTAGAGAGGTTCCCTTTCTGGTATACATGAAACTGAAAGATTCTAAGAGCCCTTTTATCCCCACATGGAGAAAGATCACCTGAGAGGAAAGCAAACAGAGAGGAAGCAATGCCAAGGGATGGGATCCTAATGGCGCCAAGGGATGGGATCCTAATGGCACCGTGTGAGTTACTCCATCGGTCCAGCTGGAGATCAGCCACCATCATCTCGCAATTTTCTTTGAAAACCAAGTTCCTATATCAGACCCACCTGCATCCCCCTGGTTCCAGATGTCTTTTATCCTAGAAGTAGCCTTAAAGACTCCTTTTCTCCTCCTTCCCCTTGCAAACACTCGCAGGGCAGGGTTTCAAGGCGGGTGGGTACAGAGCTTATTATTGGCTTAGTTCATTACAGTTTTGACTAGAGATCTCCTGCCTCTCTTCAGCCTGATTTCCTTTGGGTCAAACCTGATTTCTTCTGGGTTCTAAGAATGTTGTCAGGGTTGTAGCTGCAGGTGTCCCAGGATGTCAACTTGGAAAACAGAGAACTGGGAGTGCTTAGTCTGGAGGCCAGGAGATCAGAAGCCTGTCACCGGAAAGCTAAACAGCCTCCAAATGAACAAGGCTCCTTCTAGGCTGTTCCAGACGACAGGATGAAACTAACATGGCTGATGTCCAAATCACATGGCACAGCCTCTGTGGCCTGCATGACCTGCCTCCTAAAGACCTCTGCACCCCGACTGCCCTCCTATCTACCCTGCCACCTGGCCTTCTTTCTTTTGCTTGAGCAAGTTTGTTTCTGCCTCAGGACCTTCTCACTGACTATTCCTGCTACCTAGATCTCTGCATGGCTGTATCCTCCTGTCATCAGTTCACAGCTCAGTAAAAGGCCACCTGCCTCCACCAGCCACATCGCTCTCTTCTACTTCACCTTAGCTCAGTTTTCTGCATAGCATTTAATGCCATCTGAAGTTACGCATCTGTTTACTTAATTGTCTGAACACCCCACAAAAACATCAACTCCAAGAGATGGGGGGCTATTTCAGCCTTGTTTGTCATCGAACATACAAGGCTGTACCAGTATCTGGCACACATCTGGTTCTTGGTGAAAAAAAAATTATAGGAGGGGTACATATTGGTTTGGTACCGTAATAGTAACAATACATTCTATTGAGCACTGACCAGCCCTTGCCATCCATCATTGCACTCGATCCCCTCACCAGCACTGCAGGATAGTGCTATTATCCCCATTTTGCTAATGAGGAAACCATAGCTTAGAAAGGCCAAGGGATTTGTTTGTTCAAGGTCACACTGCTTTCATTGGTTCAGCTGCGATTCAAACCCAGGTCTGTTTCCAGAGCCAATGCCCTTAAACACTAATATATACTACGTTACCATACCTAGACTTTGGAAAACTTGATAATAATTCTGCTTAATGAAATACCCTGTAAATTAGCTGGTAGGTAGGTAGGCACACATTCGAGGGCTATCACAGGCATCACAGGGAGGATCCCTGTATCATGTGGGAGGCTGACTCTAGGTGGCCAATAAGATCACATCTTCTCATCCATCCGTCCATCCAAATCCAACCACCTCTCCGTTGGAATCCAACCACCCATCCAGCAAACCATTCAGCTACCCATCCAGCACAGCATTCAAAAGCTTATCATCCAGAAAACCAACCAACCATTCATCTATCCATCCATCCATCCATCCACTCATCACCTTTAAAACCATCCACCCATCCGCTTACCCATCATCCTCAAAGCAAATCATCCATGCCCCCACTCTTCCAACCATCTATCAACTCATCGATCCATGCAATATTAACTTAGCCTATACTACATGCCAAGTACTGTGCTAGGTACTAGAAAAATAAAATTTGGGGAAAAAAATCCTTGCCTTTGAGGAGCTCTCAGCCAAATGGGGAAAACAGAAGACAATGGTCAATTGTTTTAGAACAGAAGTGTGTTCAGTTGCCCTGGGAGGGTGGGGAAGGAGTGAGCAATCTGCCTGCAGGGACAGAGGAGATCTCAGAAAGTTTAGCCCAAAGCTCTTGAGCCCATCTCTTCAAGTGCTCGCGATGGATCCCAGCATCTTAGGCTCCTTGGCTGTTCAATCAGTAGCTGCAATCCTGGCGATAATTATCATCTTGGCTCTGATTGAAGACAGACTGGGCAGCCACCAGAGAGGGTTATCCTAACCACCCTCTCCTCTTCTCTTCAAACCAATCACAAATACACTGGGCTTTCTTGGTGATTATATGAGAAGGGCACGCCCAGGGGAATCATGTCCCTTTAAACACTCATGCAACTCTCTATCCATCCATACTTCCATCCACCCATCCATCCATCCATCCACCCACCCACCTACCAACCCACTCACCCACCTAGCATCCTTAAAACCTCCCACATGCCAACCCTGGACAAAGCCTGGAGTACAAAGACATGTAGGATGTAAGCCTGTTTTCACAAGTGGATTACGAATGGACTACGGAATGTGAGAATCTAAAGTAAAAAGATAATAGGTCTAAGAAAAGCTTATATTCTCCTTCCCATGTCTGCAGCCCAAAGGCAGGGTACTGATCGTCACCATACTGGCTTCGGCCTCTCTTGGCCTCCCTTGGAGACTCTTTATCAAACAAAGGGAGGAACGTTTAAAAACAACAGGTACTTAGTGCCACTTTTTTTGCACCCGGACTTCACTGGGTGATTTTTCAAAGGCCTAAACGTGGCCCACGACACTGTATCTTATAGGAAGTTCACTCTGTAGGGGCTCCTGCTGTCCCTCAGATCATACTGCTCATCCCTGCCCAAGGTCTCTGGGTAACAATGATCTGGAGTTCTTAGTGACTGAGGCTTATGGCGCCTTTGGGATCAGCCCGTGCTTTCTAGCTATGGGTGGGTGTCTCTTGCCAGGCTGTTGAATGAATGAATGTATGAAGGAAGGAAGGAATGCATTCTGGCTGCTCTGGTCCAGAGAAGCTGATGTCACTTGAAGGCCTGCTCGCACCAGCACTGTGCCAGATGGCGGGTGTGGAGGTGTTATTTGGCTGTGGGAGGGATGCGCTGTCAGGCTCCGAGGCTCAGAGAGGTCCACGTGTTTCCCCAGGGTCACACAGTGAGTGAGGACAGAAGCAAGGAGTGGAAGCCCAAATCCATTCCAGCTACTTCCACCTGCCCTCCAAGGAATCAGAGAGCAGGGAGATGGGGAGGTTGGTGTGAAGACTGTAGGCTGGTCTTTAGAGAGACTTGTGCCCTGAGGTAGAACAGAGCCTTCTGTAACTTTCTTAAAAAAAAAAAAAAAGATTTTATTTATTTGAGAGAGAGAGAGAGCATGAGCAGCAGGGTGGGGAGGGGCACCGGGAGAGGGAGAAGCAGACTCCCCGCTGAGCAGGGAGCCCCACGTGGGGCTCGATCCTAGGACCTGAGCTGAAGGCAGACGCTTAACCGACTGAGCCACCCAGGCACTCCCTTTTGTAACTTTCTTTAGGGTTTTAGAATGAAGAGCAGATTCACGGACAGACACAGACATGGATGCTTTCCTTCTGAAGAAAAGGAGCTGAGCACCAGGATATCAGGCACTGTCATTCTGGCAACTGAGCCTCCAGACTGCAAGCGTCCCTGGGTCAGACAGCTGGTCTGGGGAGTAGCAAAGAGAAGAGAGAACAAAAACCCAGAGTTCTCCTGGAGTACAGCTATTTTGAGAGGGGTGGGTGGGAAAGAACCAAAATACCTGAAGAAAGGAGACTCACACAGAAGGGCAGATGAGGGTGAGGGGCAGAGAGGGACAGACAGAAATAGAAACAGACAGACACAGAGAGGGAATGGGAATGCAGACAGACAGGCCTTGCTCACACTGAGAGAAAAACAGAAGGAGACCTGCAGGCAGCAGGACCTCCCCCTTACTCCCACCTACGGAGAGAGAATCACAGAGAGAGACCTACACAGAAACAATAAGAGACACACACAGGTATAAATAGAGACAAGTGCATGGGATCAGATACATATACAGAGGCAGTTTCAGGCAAGCAAGACGAGTAAGCTCTAGAGACCCGCCATACAACACCATACCTTTAGTCAACAGTATTGTGTGCTTCAAGATGTGCACAAGATGTGGAGAGGGTAGATCTCATGTTAAGTGTTCTTACCAAAATAGGATAAAAAATGTACCAAAAAAACCCTAAAGAGGAATGAGCAATCCATCCCTGACCCTGCTGGGTTGTGCAGTGATTCA